CCCCAAAACCCCAAAACCCCAAAACCCCAAAACCCCAAAACCCCTTAAGAACATTTTTAAATTGAGCTAAATTTAACTAATCTTCATTTGAAATGGAGACCTGCGTGAACGAGAGAGGAGTAAATTTAGTTCCAGTTCCTTTGTAGAATTTGTTTTGGAATTCTACCCAGTGAAGTCTTAGAGTATGTAGGAAGCATTCCATCGAATCCATAGACATTAGAACTCCTAGGGTAGCTACCCAGAATAACTGTTGCAAAAAGAATAGCATTAGTGGGCTTTTATATTCCAAGCCCATAACTAAAGTTTTCTCATAGAACACATCTGCAAGCTGGCTATGAGCAAGACTGAGAGCCCATAAACGAAGATAAGAAGCTGTATTAGATACAGTTCCTAGGACAAACTCTATTGTCTCTATCAACTGGTGGACAAAGAGTTCTTCCATGGAGTGTCCATGATCTTCAATTTTTAAAACTTTTCTTAGATTAGCCATTTGTTCATGATGACGATCTCTGTCTTGCATCTCACGTGAACCATTATCACCCATAACTCTGTGGCTTCCATCATCTGCTATTTGTTGTTTATTTTCTTCATTTGAGTTTTGAACATCGAAATTCCTGTGTTGTTGTTCTAGCTTCCTCTCTTCTGCTTGGAAGCCTTCATATTCTTCTTCATCTTCAAATTTGTTATATCCCTGCTTCTTCTCGGTATGACTTCCTGATATTCAAGCAATTAATGGTCTGAGGAAGAGCATGATTGGAATTCAAGTAAAACTCACGATGAGAAGGATTATCTGTATCTGCTCCGTTCCTGATACATCAGAGATGATAGGAGTCTTCTCTCAAGCCCCGAATTTCAAAAACATATCTATCATTGATGCAATAATACCAGGCGCTTGGCTGGTATCAGGGTAATGGGTCAACCACTTTGCTATGATCAGTACGTTCATATAGCCAAACCAACAACACATTACAACGAACTGAGCTATAAATTCTACGTAATCACAGAAATCGTGAGCGTTAAAGAACCTGAGGAAAATCCCGAGGAGCATTTGAGCTACACCTAAAATGACAGCTAGCTTCATCTTGAACGAGTTCATAAAGGTTAGCTCGTTTGTAGCAACATACCATTTAGGGTCAATTCCAAAAGGATAAACGCAATCTGGCCTCAATCTGTAAGTTTTTAGTCCTTTGGTGAATCATGAGGCATTCATCTCAATAGGAATCGACATGAAATCGTTGTACATAAATCCACAGAAGAAGGAGAAGAGACCCATCAACAGCAAGAGATATCTTGCATTGTAGATAGGCTTTAACGCCTGAATGTTTTCTCCAAAGAGTCAAAGAGCTGATGATGCTAAGAATAAGAGTCCTCCATGGCCTATATCACCAAACATCACACCAAATAAAAATGGGAAACTAATAATAGTGAAGAGAGAGGGATTCACTTCTTTATATTTTGGAATTCCATAAGTCTCTACGATAGAATGAAATTGCCCTGTAAAGGCATTGGTTTTGAAGAGAGTTGGGGTTTCAAACTCATGATTGTTGATATCTTCAAAATGAAGCTCTCTTAAGAAAACCCCCTTCTTGTTTAATTCAGATTCAATTTGATCAGCTTTAACTGTGGACCAGATAAACCCATACTGCACGTTTCCATTGTCAATAGACTTGAGTCAGTTCATATTACGGTAGATTTGTTGCTCAATTTGCACTAACATCTTATACATCGGCAGAGTTGAGATCCCGTAGAAATGAGAATTACCCTCAATTTCTTTCTGCTCAAGGTCATTCAGACGAATAAGATAGTTCCTTAATTCTCTATTTGAATCTTTTAACAATCTCTTAGTATCCACCATCTTGGTCTTTAGGTCCTCAATTACTTTAAAAAAGTCCTGATCTGGATAATCATAAAGTCTTGCTCCAAACGACTGGGTAATTCTCTGAAGTTTTTCTCTCATAGAAAACCCCTCTTGGAAGGTAATTAAGAAAGAAGATCTCTGATTTTTTGTTGGTTTTATCTTTTTAGGTTTAATATCTTTCACTTGAATCAGTGCATTACCTCTAGTAGCTCTGAAAATGAGTCTTTTGAAATTAAATGAGTCTTCAGTATCTATAGTCCCAATGATGTGACCTATCTTTATCTGGAAACCTATATCATCATCTTCATTATTTTTCTTGTTTGAATAATCTTTGCTATCTTCATTGTCTTTCTCAGATACTTTCTCTAAGGCACTGCTCCTGTTCATGAAAGACCACTTTCCTTTATTAGCGGGCTGCTTTGCAAGAAGCTGAGCAGCAGTGTGGAGGGCTTCATGGTAGTCTTGGAGCAAATCATAGTCATTTTTGATACCTCTGAGGCTTTTGGTTTGTGAGGACAAGAATTCATCATACTTCTGAACATCTTCCTCAATTACATCAAATAGTCTGTGTTCAGCAACCTTCATTACTTGGGATAGTCCATTTTGAGCCATGTAGTATTCATTGATAGAACTGGGGGATTTTAAAGGAATATTAAGTCTTTCGCACTCTTGTAGAATATTCTCAATACTTCTTAAGGTTTCATTACATCTATTCACCTCTTTAGCATACGGAAGGTCATAAACCTGTTCATTTATGTTTAGATCCACAAAACTGACCATTGAAAGCCTTCCAAGCTGTTTTATGGACTCATAAGTAGAATCCTTGGTCATAGTTGTCTTTCACAGATAAAGATTTTCAGACCTGAAGAGCCCCATTTTAATTTAAATGAATAATATTTATTTTATGTTTGAAATTTAGACTCACTTGGGGTTTTGGGGTTTTGGGGTTTTGGGGTTTTGGGGTTTTGGGG